GGAAGTAAAAAAAGCAAAGATATAAAAAAAAAAATTCTGTGAAAGGTGCAAAAATATGTGAGGGCAAAATATGAAATGAAATGAAATGTAAAAAAAAAAAAATTTAAAATCCGTGCAAATAACATTAGAAAAGGCAATGAAGACGAAAGTTGTTGCGCAAATCAAATTATAATAAAATGCCAAAATTACAAGTGAAATAATAGTGCAATTAGTTAGAGCCAACAGCAGCAGCAGCAGCGACTGCCATGGGCCCTAGGCAAAAGTTTCGCCCATTCGTGCGATTGAATAACATTTGCGTAATTAAATTTGTAAGTGCGCTGAAAGCCAAATTAAATCATATGTCTAAAGCGAAAGGGATATCTACATATAGTCGCACCCTTTCCGGGCCATTGACATCGATGCTAATCAAAAAGGCAAACACAAATTGTCGACGTCTTTTGCTAAAACGGCCAAACGGGATTGTTGGCTGCGGCTCAATTCGAAGCTCGTTATGTTTGCATTTTGTTAACGTGCCATACATTAGTTAGTTAACAATTATTGTTAGAGTGTGTGTGTGTGATATTTGTACTTGCTGCTGTTGCTGCTCACTTTCATTTCTAATGCGCTGTAGTTTCTTTTCTTGTTATGCCCTAGCTCAAGTTATTACAACTTTCACATGATGTTTGCAACGGACTCGCCGGCTAAAGAATTTGCAAACGTTTCTTTTATAAAGTTTTCATCATATTTCATTTCTCTGCAGACTTGTTTGATAAGCCAATGCAGCGCACAGAGACTGCAACACTTTAAATAAGTGAACTCAAGATGGAAAACTGAGAGAAAATATCTCAAAATACAATATATATGCAGAATGGGCTATAAACTTCATAATATATTTAAGCTTATTTAAGTAAATATAGAACTCTTAGATTCCAGCTTAAATAACTTTTAGCGGCACTGATTTTTATGCAGTTGGCTCATTGATTATCTGCTGACGCTTGCAATAATATTCTAATATGCAGTCCAATCTCGATAATTCGAATCTCGATTTTTCGATTTACACAAAAGTTCAAATTATCGATAACGAATATTTTTCAAACCAATTTTTTCTTTTCGATTTATTGCAGTTTTCGCTTTAGCGGGATTCAAATTATCGAGACACGACTGTAATATTAATTTTATGTAATTTTTTACCCAAGGAATATATAAAAATTATAATTTTTACTTTTAATCATTTTACTAAAGCTCCCAAAAAATATAATACTTTATATAAATATCGAAAAATCATCAATACAATCAGCCATATTTCCTCTACTACATTCTAAGCCTAACATTAGAGTATTACAGCCTTCGTTCTTCTCACAACATTTTTAGCTTCTAGTATTTTGTTTGTTTAACACTTGTGCTTAAAATAAACATTTACCGCTGTCACTTGCTAAAAGTGAAATTAGTGTTGTTTTATTTATATATCACAGAGCACACATATCACACACATATTTATATATACATATCGCTGACTGAGTCAATGGAACAGCGTATTGTAACGCTCGCCCCCGTTACAGTGCTGAACTTTTACACCAGATCCAGCTACTGGCTGACTTCAAAAATGGAAAGTAGAGTTCAAAGATGGATAGCGATGATTTGGCTGTCAGATCATTCGAATCGGTTTGGCAAAATATATGTTGGCTCAATTAAGTTGGCAATTAATCACAAGGGCGTCACCAGCTCCAAAAAAGTGATTAATTAGCCAAGACATTCGCAAAAGATTCACAACAAAAATGGGAAAATAAAACTAAAAAACAAAAAATATTTAAAGCATTCATTCAACCGCTTGAACTTTCGTTTTCAACACATTAATTTGACGGAGCTGATCAGGAATACCTGTGAGCAAAAAACAGCAGGCGTTGTTGTTGGCTGTTAACAACTTGTTCGATTTGGCCTCTGGGTAGACTCTATATATGTAAATATATATATATCTAATCTCTAATATCTCACGTTTTACACCTGCAAAAAAAACTTCGCTATTTTTTCTGCCTTGCAATTGATTATCTCAACGCCCTCAAAGGCAAATTTTTGTGTTTTTTTTTTCCAGAAGCCACGCCCACTCGCTTAGCATCGCCTTTCACGCAATGATTGGCATTAACTGAGAAACTCAATTTCACACACTTGTCGCTAATTATGCCCATGTTATTATCGATCTGTCGTGTCTTAGCTACCCGCAAAAATGTTTGCACAAAAGAAAATAAACAAAAAATTAAAAAATAATAAAAATAAAAAAATTAATGAAATTTCATCAATGATGATGGATCGATCATGGCGATGCTATGTGAGCTTCAGATGCCAAAATAAAATTTTAATCATGGGAATTTTCCATTATCTATTTTTAAAGCAAAATAAATTAAGCAGAAGAAAGCATGAAAAATGCAATTTAATATATTTATTAAGGTTCAAACGATCGAGCGGACCATGTAAACTTGAGGTAATTAAGCATTGGGAGTTGCTTTAAAGTTGATAAGAAAATAATTTCGATGAGAACTTGTTTTATTCTATATTTAATTGGAATTTTGACACGAATTTTGTAACGTTTATTATCCTAAATATATAAAAATAAATAAATAAATATAATATAAGAAGCTTGCAGTACTACTTTTCTATCGCTATTTAATTATTCTATTCTATATATTATTTGCCCTGATTACTTGAAAATTTATGCTCTCTGAATCTTAAGATTAGCAACAGTTGAGTATAGCTTGACCTTAAGATAACCTTACTCGATAGTAAAAGACAGAGTATTGTTTAGAATCAAAGTTTAATAAATAATCATAAGCCTATATCCGCCGTTTTCTCCATCTATCTGGCTGCTTGAATTCCAAGATATCACACAGTTTGAAAGCTTCTATCATAAAACTTTTGCATAGATAAATGTCTCTATTGTTATTCCGCCAAATGTCGCAAACAATAAGATCGACAATAAAACCTTTCAATGAAATTATTTTAAACGTTTTTCGCCACTTGAGCAAAATGTGGTGAATGTCAACGGAAAACTCAACTTTATGGCTGAAGCTAAGTATAGCATATATAAAATTTGAGATGGAAGCCTTAACATAGCTTAATTAACAGCTGGTGACAGAATGAAAGCGTCGCTGAGCCTATAAAGTAAAGTAAAGTAAAGTAAAGTAAGTAAAGTAAAGAGATTTAAAAGCTTGATACTGATAAATAGATTGAATAAATGAGACATGCCAGCCCCTTCCACCTGTTTATCTCTACCCAATGGCAAACCTTAAAGTTAAAGCATCTGTTAAATAATAAATGCTAGAGTATGTTATAACATCTAGATAGAAAGTTTTTGTTTTTCAGCGACGAGCATATACTAAATCTTAATACCATATCAGATGTCAGCTTCAGAAATGTATTTACTAAAACATATCAATTAACTCTCTTCAAGCACTCCTAGCTCGCTTATTTCAACATATTTCTCATACCATACATTGATTAGCTACAGCTATAGCTGCATTATATTTTATGCCTTAAACAAAAAAAAAAAAAGCAAAAAATAAAATAAAATAAAATACAAAATCAATTTGAAAATTCATCCAACTGCTTTCATTAGCAGCATAAACACGTTTGAAAAGTTTTCGAGCATAATTAAAACTCAAATACCCAAATTAATGTCTACGATTTGTATTAAATCAAAATTTGGGGCTCATTCATTGAATCGAATGGCTTTTCGAATGCTTATCAAAATGTTATTTATTTGTGTCTCCGAACTGCTTTCGATTATATAACCCATGTGGCCAGCGGCCACTACAAAGCGCAGAATCGCCGCAACTAACTAAATCAGTGACGGCTTTGGCTAAATTGTGACTCGATTCGTTTGTTTTTCAATTTTTGTATTTTGGCACCTTCTTGACTTGCCTTGTCTCGGCCCTTAGAGAAAGCTGACTCGGTTTTTTATTACCTTTATTGTCGATCAATACGCATGGTACGCTAAAACATCATTTAAATTATAATCACTGATCTAGGGTGCGAGTAGATTGTGTGTCGTAATAGATACGCCTGGGAAAAAGTGTTTCGAGCTCGCGCTGAGAGGTGTGAAAGTACTCAGAGAGCCAGACAAAACGTTCTAACCGAGCGAATCAAGATAATGTGCGGCTATGGGACGCCCACGTGCCCGGCATGCCCAAAATGGCAAAGTCAAAAGCCGCAATGTTTTCCATTTCAATGGCTAACGAGCCGCTGCCTGCCGCTGACCACAGAGAGCCAGAGCCAGAGCCAAAAAGCCAAATACACAAAAAGAAAACAATCACAAAGCAACAACAACAACAGCAACGGCAATAACGAAAGTGAAATTCTACACAAAGATCGTGGCGTAGCTCCACCACGCTTGACCAGCCAAGTGCCCGGCCCTGGCACCGGCTCAGCTTGACTATGCTAATGCCTACTTTTTACCTCATTTCTTATTTTTTTTTCTTTTTTCGCTACGCCAAGCCTCAGCAGCAACTGCAGCGACGTGTTCAAAGACGTTGACAAACTAAGCTCAGTGAAATTTGGGTCAAGGAAATGCCAAACGACAGGTTAGAGGCCCACACACACACAAACGCACACACACACACACACAAGCTCACACAGATACATACGCATAGTCGATGACAGTTATTGCTATGCTTGTTAGCAATTTTGAATGCACTAATTGCCAAGTTTGTCTCCTGAGTCTTTTGTTATTAGCCATGAACGGATCTAGCAGTGGGCCAACAACCTTGCTTAACATAGCAGCGCCTGCGAAATATCGCAGCATGTAAATCGTGTGTCCAGGCCACAGCGAAAGCTGCAAAGCCCAAAAGAAAATCTATTGCTGTCAACACGGCTGTCAAATTGCAATTATGTGACGCAGTCTGCAACAGTGAGTTAACAGCGAACAGCAGCAGCAGCAATCGCAGCAGCAGCAACAGCAGCAGCAGAAGCAATAGCATATGTTAAGCTGCTAACGGAACAGTCAACTGAGCTGCTCTTAACCGCAAGCGTTCGCTGTAAACCGTTTCAGTTGAGTTTGAAACGCGCACGCGTGCGGACGTTGCCAGCGTATAGACACACACATACACACACACACTCATACAGAGAAAGCACGCTAACAGTAATATATATAGCAGCCGAATCAGTAGCCCCAGTAGAAACCAAAATAGAAATGTTTACCATTTAAGCGACTCGCGTCTCAAACAAAATACTCGCACGTACACGCGCTCTCAAACAAAACTCTCTCGCTCTCTCTCTCTCTTTCACTCGGTCGATCGCTCGCTCGCTGTTGGCTCTCTTGCGTTAAAGTGAAAGTTGTGCCACACAAAAGTGGCAAAGGTCCGTTATCTGTTCGGCCAGCGCTGGCAAACGGGCAGCGCTGACAATCAGATACACGCGGAACGTTCAGTTGACCGGACGCATGGCGCTTCGATCAGAGCCTCGTTGTTAGCAACTGTAACAATTCGCCAATCAATTAAACTATATATCTATTTGCATAAACAACAGTGCGCTGCAACGAAACTTCCATAATTCAAAGTGCTAAAGCTCAAGAAAATAAATTTATAAAAAATAATAATAATAATAATATTAGTACGAAATTCATTGTAAAGCTCGTGCATGAAACGCGTTCGTTGCCTAAGTCTTTTGTTTGGCCGTAGCGGTACATTTGCATGCGTGTAACTGTGTGTGTCCGCGTGTATGTTTCCAATTACAACATACGACAATACGCTGTTAGATTTTCGCACTCGACCACATTAAAAAAAAATAAAAGAAGAGAAAAAACAAAACCTTTAACTAAGTGGAAATTCAGCTGGCAGACGAAGCGTCTAGCCGGAATAGTGTCCAGCGACGGACCAAAGCAGACATGTTTAAGTGGGTTATGCCGGCGTTAGCGTCGCGCACAAACGCGACAACAAAAGCAGCGGCAGCGGCAGCGGCAGCAAGAACAACAAGAACTACAGCAACAATAACGACAACAACAACAACAACGATAACAAAACGGCAACTACTTTCCAACGCTTTAACAACTTTAATAATAATAGGCGCATTATTTGTGCAGACAACAAGTGGATTTAGATCAACAATTGAAACGAACGGCGGTAAGCATTTATATAGATCTAGAAAACAAATATATACACATACATATATGGTACATATATGGTACATCAATTTATATAGAAAGTTGACAATAGAAAAGTTGGCAAGAATTTTGTTTTATTTTCTTCTTTTTTTTTTTCTCTCTCTCTCTTTGAACTAAACAATTGAATGAAAATCAATTTGGCAAATTGCTAGCTCATGGCATACAATTCTCGATGAGACAAATCGAAGCGTGTCACTTCGACACTTTGAAGGCGAGTGAAAGCACAAGCTGGCAGGCAACAACAATAACAACAACAACAACCACAGCAGCTGCTGCTGGTCTTGACAATGGCCAAAAACGAAAAGCGCAAAAAAAAAGTAGCTAAACTGTGCCTTTGTGTCAATTCCAGATGAAAAACTTTTGGCACAGAAAATGTGACTTTCCATATATGAACACACATAAACACACACACGCACACTCTAACACACACACACATGCTTGAAGAAGCGCAACGCACTTGGCATTTATTTGGTTCATTTTATGCTACATTACGAAGACAATGTTTTGTTTTTTTTTTTTATATATATATATATTTGCCAGTTTGAACTATTCAAACAAGCACTAGCTGTGGCCTGTGCGCATCTCTCTATGTGTCACACACACTTTCTTATGGCAGTTTTTTAGCGAGTCGCTTTCGTGTTAATTGTTGCCGATTTAAAAAGTGAAACAAATTTCTAATGTGTCAGGTTATTAGCTGGAATCGAAGGCACTGGCACAAGCTATTGAGTTTGAGACATTTAAGCTGCATAGCACAAAAATATCTCAAGCTGTGCTGAATTCGCTGAAAGCAACGTAAGAAAACAAAAGGCTTGGGCGACAAACTTGAGCGGCAGCAAACAATTGACTCGACTTGACTTGACTTGACTTGCAGAGATGTGCCTACAATTAGAGTATGTGACACAATTAGCTGTTAATCATGTGGCACAATTAGACCAAATTATGTTGATCTAGCAAAAGACTTCCTGAGTGAAAATTATGTTAATATGGCGAGACTTCCTGAGTGGAAGCTGTAGAAATATTAATCAAGTTAAGAGTGTTGAGTTAGAATGGAGATAAGAGCTGACTGATTATTGAAAGACAATTGAGAGCAAATTGAAGAAAATCTAAGAATGTTGAAGCTCATTATTATATATTTTGTTTTTTGTTTTTTTTTTTTTTTACTTTATATTAACTTTAATCATTTGGAATAAAATTATTATATTCTGCATTGAAGTATAGCAATTAATTTTATAATATAAAGATTATCCCATAATCGACAATAACAATTGATATTAAACAAGTTCATAAAGTATATAATACGACGAGATATAAATCATATAAGCAAGATATTATACTCAAATTTTGTGTAAAAGAATGTAAAAAAAAACAATGGAAAGTAGAACTAACACTTGTTATCAATTAATTTGGCTAAAAATTAATTTAAAAAAAAATAAATAAATAAAATAAAATAAAAATGATTATAATAATAATAAATAAAACTATATTCAAGCAAGGTGATTTTTTAAATCACAAGAAACCATTATCATAAATAAATATATTATATAAATTTTAATTGAAAATTTCCATTAGAAAATGAATAAAAAAAAAAATAATAATAATAATAAATAAAGCTCAATTAAAGCAATATAATTTTCAAAACCACAAGCACCCATTATCATAAATAAATATATATTATATAAGATTTAGTTTAGCATTTCAATTAGAATCTGCTTCAAGCACAGCAAGCGACGCTTAGGTTATTAAACTCTGAGCCCTAAGCAAGGTTTACACACAGCTGAAGTTTGTTTATGCAGCTAACGTTGTGAAAACTTCTAGCCAAACACAAACAGAAATATACATATACATACACACACACATACACACACACACACAGATGCAGCTGCTATGATCAAATGATCAAATCATTGAACAAACACTTTTGTAGGTTGCCATAGCTAGAAAAGAAAACGCAATGCTTCCGTTTTGCGGGACAAACTTTGCTGCGTCAGGTCAGAGACAGCGAATGCCAATCATTCACACAATCTATCATTAACAACAGATGTGTGAGTGTGTGCTTGTGTGTGTGTGTGTGTGTGTGTGTGTGTGTCTGTGCTGCAATTGTTGCTGCATAAAACAATTTTCAATTTCTATTCAATTTTTATTTGTACAGAAAAAGAAGAAAAACCCGCGGCTCACTGTCCGAGCTGATTGCGCGTGCGAAATGAAAATGTCTTGGCCAGTAGCCACAACAACAACAGCAACAACAACAATGGCAAATTTTGTACAGGTTCTGATCGCAACGTGTGCCAGTTAGCGTCTGTGCACTTGTCGGCCCGCAGTTGACGTTGAGCTTGCGGTAATTTGCGGCTCACTCCACGCTTCACACAGATACACACAGAGAGCTACTGCCTGGAGGCAAGAAGCTGCAAGACTTTGCCAAGATTTTGCAGACTGCAGTCTAAAAGGCAGCACAAGTTGCAGTTGTTGTTCTTGTTGTTGTTGTTGCTGGCAGCAGCAGCAGCAACAGTCAATCAGTCAGTTAGTCAGTTGCCTCAGCTGCTCGTCGCTTTGTTGGCATCGATATAATTTTCGAGATCACGTTTTTACCGCTGCACGGTCAAATGCTCTACATAAGCAAAATGCCATCTCTTTCAGTCTCTATCTCTTGCTCTTTCTCGCGCCCTGACTGCCTGACTGTCTTGCTTCTGGCAAATTTTTGTGCTTAAAAATCAATTCAGCTTAAAGACTTTTTAACTTAATTTGATTTTATCCGCATTATTTTTTCTGTAAGTTATTTAAATTGCGCATACGCAAGGTTGTTTAATTTAATTTCATATTTCATTTCATTTTGCAATTAATGTGAAAGCGACATTTTTTTCGGTTTTTGTTTTTGACTTTCTTTCAAACATTTTTCCCACAAACGTTTACCACATCATAAAACTTAACTCAATCGCATTAAAAAACAAAAACAACAGCAAAACTGTGACACATCATCAACATCAAGTGCCCAGGCCCGTGTCCAAGAAGCATTTCACCAAAGTCACATAAAACAACAAAGAAAGAAAAAAAAAGAAGCTCACACTCGTTTATCACATGGCAATTCAGTTGCACTTCCTCAGCCCGAGAGCAGAGCTGGCAAACTATTAGTGCATGCCAAACAGAAGAGTGTCTAAATACACATACCTGCTCATACCTGCTCATATCTACTCATACCTACTCATTGGCGCTCATTCACTCGACTCACTCCACTCACATTTTTACCCATTCGTCACCATTTGGCTGGCTACTTAGTTTATCTTTTAAGCTCATCAAGCTCTCATTGTTGGCCTAGAGTTTTCCTTTTTGTAATTGACAAATTTATCGACTTGTCAGCAGAGCTTTTGTTATGGCTGCATCTAACAGGAAATACATAGCAAAATGTCGAATGTGTATTTGTGTTTTGACATGTTTGGCGGTGAAAGTGAAATGCTCTTAACTAACGATTGGCTGGCTACGCTACTTCTCTCCTATGTTGTTGTTGTTGTTGCTGTTGCTCTGTTGTTGTTGGTAGTTACTTCCGTTGTTGTTTGAGTCTATCACATATTCTTTTTACTTTTTTTTTCGCATGATATTTGCATAGACATTAAATGTTTGTCATTATAAACCTTTTTCCGTGTGTGTGCATCCAAAAAAAAAATTTAAAAATAAAGATCTTTTGTTTGCCTCTGTCGCTACCCCTCTCTCTCTCTCTCTCTGTATGCACTGCCTATCGATTGCTATTTGGTTATCGATTGGAAATGAGGCTATTGCCAAAAATGATGTCATTTATTGCGGCCGACAACTTTCACTGCGCGCGACGCACAACGATCTTCTTCAGTTTAGTTTAGCTCTCCTCATATTTGATTTGATGTTCAAGCTCAGCGTTTTGCACTATTGACATAAAAGCTTAGGATCGTTTTCCCAAGACCCCCCCATCAATTGCATTCAGTCATTGCAGCTGAGCGAGGAAGAGAGAGAGAGAGAGAGAGGGGTAGGAGCAGTGGAGATGGGAATGAGAGAAAACCTTTTGCACAGCCATCCTCTACCTGCTGCGCTCCACGTCAAACTTTTCACTTAACCAAAAAAAAAAAAAATTCATTGTTCAGCAAAACAATACAAGTAAAAATAATTATCATTTCCAAAGTTCTTATCATTCGAATGACCAGGCAAAAAATACACATACATACATACATATAATAGTGGCTATAGGATTAATCATCAAAATAAAAGTCGTAATGAAAACAAAACGGAATTCATGTACTTACCCACTGTGCACTGAACAATAAAGCAGGGCAGCTAAACGAAACTGGCTCAAAGAGCAACACCAACAACAACAACTTCCATGATATCTTTTCATAACTACAGCTGTGTGTGTGCGTGCGCATGTGTGTGTGTGTGGTGCTGCTTGACCAAAGGCCCGGCCCGGCCCCGCTCAGCTCGGCTCGGCCTGTTTTTGGTGTCGCTGCGCAACCTGTTGGAGTCGCAGAACACAGACGGTGCGCGGTTGACACTGCGATTACCTTACAAAGTGATGCCTGCGTGAGAGAGAAAAGAGAAACAACGCACACAAGTTTCAATGAGAATGCAAAGAGAAATACATATGTATTGCAATGCACACATACACACACACGCACACATAAGTCACGCACTTTCTGCTTGACCCTGGACAGCACTTAATTCACTCAAAAAACAACAAAAAATATCACACTTTCACACTTTAGCATTAGGCAATCACGACAACTTTACAGATTTACACATTTTTATGCCATTTACGCACTAGAAACTAAATTGACACGCGCGTCAAAATTTTTGGCAACTTTTTTAATTTTCGATGGCCGGCTTAAGCTTATCGATAGGCGATCTCACCGCGATAATTGCATTTGCTTGCACGCACGAGCGGCTGGTATGCAGCTCACACGCAAGTGAACTAGTTCAAACGCATATGCTTAATTGCTGTGCAAC